CAACTTACCTGTACCGAAAACGGTGAAAGGGGCATACGACTGGACGGCCGCCCGTGCCTGCAAAAGATAAGAAGCCCAACCGTTCATCGCAGTCGTCTTAGCGTCGCGCACGAGCGGCTCACGAAATTGACGAACTGCTCGGAGGTGACAAGAAGGTTGCCGTGGCGAAGGTGGGGTGGAGTGGGGCTCGCTCATTTCATGAGGCGATCCCAACTCTCCACTGTCGCCCGGACAACCGACTAACGGAGGGAGTGCTCCGATTTCGCTTGCACTTGTTTTCTCCTTATCTTATGTACACGTCGGTATAGCAGGGTGCACTCCCTTAGGTGGACTTGACTCGATGCTGAACTTGACCGTATTATAGATTGGTGTCAATGGGGTGGAAATTCCTTACTCGATCGCGTGTTCGTGATTGGCGCTTTCCTAGAGTCGCCGCGATCAGACTTGATCGCCTTTTGCCAAAAATGGGGCACTTGAGTCGCGAGCCTTTCTGACAAGTTGAGCCGTCTCGCGATCTTGTACTTCGATCAGTAAGGTTGCCTGCGTCCGATCGCAGTTGATGTGTGTTGAGAGTCCTTGCACTCCTGTCCAAATAGCTCGAGTAGTGATCTTCCTGCTCTTGATGTCGAAGTTCTCTGACGTCTGGAGGCCAAAAATATTCAACCCGGAAGAAGAACGACACGTATGTGTTTAGAAGCAAATTGAACTCTGTTTAGCTTTAACCAACCAAAACCCAAACTATAAACCACACCTACTCCGTCTGTCAGGATTGACCGCCACGTATCTTGTCCATGCCGGATAGATGTTCAATCCTTCTAGATCACGTGTCCCACGCTAAATCGCGTTCCCTTGATCGCGGTCCCTTAATCGCGGTCCTTCGATCGCAGTTCCTCGATATTTCTACAGTACGGTACCGTGTGGACTAGATAGGGTTGAGCTTGTTGGGTCCTTCCAACGGTAACATTCAGATAATTGACAATCATCCCACGAGCGATTCAGCCAAAACCACCTCGTACTTAGCCGAATCGCTTAGGCTTTTAAACCCGATCTCAATCGGCTTTATCACAATCGCCCCCTGCACAAACATCCGATCCACAACATCCGGCTGGCTCGTGCACGTGTTCTGTCGCCATTTTCCGTTTAACCGTAAATAATGGCTTCCACGTCGTCCACATCTTCCACTCCCGACGTGCCTCGACCGACGTGCCTTTCGCTAGTGACGCGTTAGTGTCCCCGGTTAGCTAAACATTGACGTCCGTTTAAAATCGGCTGGCACTTCGAGTATTACCTACGGGTATATCCTCAGCGCCATCCTTTCCACCTCTGATGACGATCGGCCACATGGACTCCATCCCCACTAAAGCGATTCCATTGCCGATTGCTCGAGTCAAATTGCTACTGATAGCTGATCAAGCGGCTGCGGTCGAGATGCTCGCTGGTCTTTATCATATGATCGCGTCTCAGCAAGACTGAGGCGATCGCTACGGCGATCTGGAGCAAGCTTTGAGGGAACAGACCCGCTGAGGTGATCGTCTAGAGCAAGAGCTCCGTTCCCTTGCTGGGTTGGCCTCTCCTTTTGTTATTTTCGCTCAAGTCCGCTACTCTCTTCTACGCTTGGATCTCGAAGGTGCACGCGCGGAGGCCGCCTTACTTCGGGAGGAATTCATTGCGGGTCAGTGTCAGGAGCAGTAGATTAACTCATTTAAGTAGGAGCTTTTGAAGGCGACTCGATCGCTTTATGCTTCACAGGAACGTCAAGACGGAGAGTTGGTAGCCTTGCGACAGCACATAGATGATGGAAATGCCCTTCTGCATGCTGCACTCACTCAATAAATTTCAAGACTTCAGAAGGTCCAGTCGAAGAAATCCCGATACAAGGCTGGTTTTTCTCAGGCCCAGAGCAAGGTTGGCCGTCTGCGCGGTGCTCTTGCGACACTGGTGGTAGAGCGCGATCAGTTTCGGTACGATCTCGCTGAGCTCTAAGTCGACCGTGATCGGTTACGCTCTTTCCAGCCGATCGGGTCGATCAATTGGATTGTCTCCAGACTGAGATCTCGAATCTAGAGTCAGAGTGTGATCTAGCATTGCGCGATCGGGATGCTCTTTGGGCGAGTATCACCTCATCGCTACCATCGTATCCGCTCCCCTTTCTTCCCATTCTGTCGTGGAGGCCCATTTCCGTTCTTAGCCTTTATGCGTAAAAGGATCAGCGTATTCCAGGGCCACCCGTGGAAAACGTCCCGGATCTTTCGCTCCAATTCTTCTTCCGCGGAACAAAAGTGCCAAGACATAGGCTTCCACTACTCCCGGACCTCCCCGCAGTCGCTAGTCAAGGCGGCATCAAAATCTTCGTCTATATCTGTGCCCGATGTCTCCACCACGTCCTCTCCCCCGGGCAGGAATCTGAAGGACAGGATTACCCGTCCCTCCCGCCGTTCTAAGCGATCGACGGCAAAGCCAGCGCCCCAACCATATGTTCTGTCCGGGTCTTGTGGTCGTAAAGGAAAGGTAAACTGCGCGTCTCGGCACCTGCTACGCTCCGCTCGGATGCTGATGAGTCATCAGATGCAGAAAAATAGCCGATTTGGGTTTCGAGCGATCTCCAATTCACAGCACGCTCTCCACATATATCCGCAACTCGGAATGGACCATGCCACATATGCACTAGCTTCTTTGCTTATCCTTCTTTGACTCTATTAAGGTATAGCCAAACTTGTGTACTCACTTCAATTATGTGTGTTCCAGGTCTTCCTTGTGTCGATCCGCTCTCTCTTGAATTGCAGATTGTAAAAAATCGTTCATTCCAGATCGGGCTCACTGGTATTGTCTTTGTATGCTGTATCTATACCTTTTAGGATCGCGATCTCTTGTTCTCGTGCTCCTTACTAATAGCGTAGCTTCCAACGTCGATCGCGGATCCCATCCATGAATCAGATAGAATGGGGTATCCCCTCTGATCCGATCTTTTGCGGAGTTAATCGCAAAGGTGAGCCGCTCAGTATACTCATCCCAGTCTCGTTGATTAACATCAGCCACGTACATATTCAGTGAATGCGTCAAGGTTTGCACCATCCTCTCGGCTGTTCCAGTTGCTTGTGGCCTGTAGGACATGGTGGCACGTTGTTTTTGTCCTACGATTTGGCTGAAAGCTCGAAAGAATTCGGACATGAATCCCAGCTCCCGATCATGCCTGATAGCTTCGCTAGCTCCGAAGCGTCGGAACACACATTCTTCGTAATTTGTTGCGCTCGTTTGAGCGCTCCGTGACGAGCTAGCTTTTGCGATCACATACCATGAGAAGTGATCGATTCAAATGAGTAGCTCTGTATTCCCCTTGATGGACTTCGGAAACGAAGGTACATGATCCATTGCGATAAAATGAAAATAATAGGTCGCTTGTGAACTGCCAAAGATCTCTATTGACCGTGGGACATCCCTTTTCAGTCTCACATTCGCTACATTCGCCCACAAATCGTTGCACACTCCGATACAGCCCTCTCATATAGAATCGCGGGATGATCCTCTGGTACGTCCTGCCAATACCCTGATGGTCTCCTTCCAGTCTTGCGTGGTTGTGGAGCAGAAAACCTGTTGCAACGTCTCCGGGATCACCAGACGCATCAAACCGTCGCGATCTTCTGATTCTCTCTTCGCCGTGGGGCAGAAGAATTGCAGATCGTTATCATCGATCTCTTACTCCGGTGCCAGTTTCGTGCACATCTTTACTTCTCCTGCGTTCAGGCTAGATACATCGCCATTCAGACATTTCTTGAGGTTGACAATCCAGCGCTCCTCATCTTGAGCTTGGCCAATTCGTTGAATCCTAATCCTCTGCGCCATCTCCTCCTGTAACACTTGGGCGTGATGACGTCTCCTCCTGGCCGATCTCGTGATTGCCGTTATTCGAAAAAGCTGACCCGCCTGCTTGCATATCAACAAAACATATAGGCGTTTCAAAGCAATCAGATCTCGCTGATCTTCTTCGGCAACAATAGTTCTTCCTTTTTCGTTCTGCAATGCTGTGCTGGCTAGTCGATCCGCGCTAGGTTCCATTCTCGCTTTATTTGTAGGAACTCATAACTCGACCATGATCGCAATTTCTTTAACGCTTTATTTCTCAATAGTTGAAGGTCCGGTGCCTTGTAGTCGATCGCACCGCGCATCTGTCGAATCACCAAATTAGAGTCATACAAAGAATTACTCGGCCCCTGTCCAGATCGGCGAGTAAGTCAAGGCAGAATAGCAAGCCATTTTACTCATCTTCGTTCACAGTCAGGTCGTGAGCATATCTAGATTTCGCCACAATCGTCCACCCGGGCAGCCTGTATATCACAGCACTGTACGAACCTCCTTTCTTCTTTATCCTCGCCGATCCTCGAAACTGGCCACCATCAACTTCTCATCTACTTCCAACGTTGTTATTGGCGTTGATATCTTAAGTAGGCAGTCCTTGCGCGGGGAGTTTGCGATCAGCATCCCTTCCATCTCTTCTCTCGGGGTAATACTCTCTGCTAGCATGCCTAAAATCTCTTCCTCTCCTCTTTCGCATTTCTTCACTTCCATAGTCCAGTTCGACAGCAAATCAGCTCACCGTCCTAATCTTTCGCTGAGCCCTCGAGATTGCATCAAACACGCTAACGTGGAGTGCCGAGTCAACACAGTTATCTCTCGCGAGGCTAGTGTGGTATGGCACACATTCAAAACACGAAGTAACGCCAGCACCTCCTTCTCCACCTTCCCGCAGTTAAGCTCGTTAGGCTTTAACGTGCGGCTAGTAAAATTCACCGGATGATACATGCCATCATACTCCTGTATCAGGGCCGCTGCAACAGCCCACTTAGCAGCGTAGACCACGATTACGGGAGATCGATCCGGGTCCAAACGTTTGAGCATGAGAGATGTATCTATCTTAGCTTCCAGCATCGTGAACGCAAACTTAGCTTCTTTCCATCGACCGTCGTTCGACCATTCATCTCCTGATGCAAGTTTTTAGGACCAAGATGTTTGTTTCTCGCGAAGGATCGCACCAAGTGGTGGCAACAGCAGATCTTGTGGATGGTCTTTACGGGCTTCAAACAGCTCATCGATCAGCCAATACGGCAACAAGCGGATGCAACGGTGTCGACTTACATGCGCAATTGGGACACGCTCCAGCTGATGTGCTTCGCAAAATGGTGGCCACGAACATGATCAAGGATGTGAAGGTACCTCTCACGTCAAGTGGATCAAGCGCGTGTCGAGGATGCCAACAAGGGAAATGGTCCAAAAACCATTCTTACGCAACCAAAGACAAGAGCAGCTACGACACCTTTGAGCTACTCCACTTCGACATATGCGGACCCATGGAGATGAACTCTCTGGGTGGCAGCAAGTATCTACTGCTGATCGTGGACGAAGCCAGTGGATGCATGAAGGGTTCTTGCCTAAGTGTGAAATCGGAGAGTGAGAACTACACCACACGATACGTCACGATGGTGCCAGCGCAGCTTGGCAAGAAGGTCAAGTTCGACACGACGAAGCCCGCGAGTTCGCAACCAACTCGCTTCAACTGTTCTACGAAGATGAAGGCATTGAGCAACAAACGATAGTACCATATGCACACCAGACCAACGGCAAGGCGGAGCGCGCCATTCGGACCATCGTCACATTTGGTCGCAGCATGCTTCATCATGCTAAGCTGGAAAAGTGCTTCTAGGCCGAAGCAGCAATGACGGCAATTTACGTCAAGAATCGTCTGCCTTTGCCGAAAGATGTACACAAGACTCCGTTCGAGATCGTCCCCAACTCCAAGCCAAGTTGTCGCATTGTAGATCGGAGCGAACGGAGCGGAGAGACCGAAGAGAGTAGAGCAGAAAACACTTGCCCAATAGTTGGAAGAATCGAAAGTGATTGATTATCGGGGCTTACTACTTACTACATGATTTAAATGTGGTGTACATATAAATCATGTGAAGCGTCTCATCATCCTACGCGTCTAATCAACTATGGTAATTACCGTAAGAACTACGTCGTAAATACTAAGCTGAACAGGCGGTTCGGATTGGACCGGTCACGGTTACCAATACTGGTAGAAAACCGATGACCGTCAACACGCCCCCTCAATCCGAATGCTCACGAATCCCGAGAGCCGTCGTCATCTCCTTGTGGCGTGGTCCATGAAGTCCCTTCGTCATGATGTCCGCTAACATCACCGCAGTTTCACAGTACTTGAGCTTCACTTCACCGCGCTTGACCTCATCACGGATGTGATGGTACTTGATATCAATGTGCTTGGCACGGCCGTGGTTGACTGGGTTCTTCGTCATCTTGATACATGACTGATTGTCTTCATGAATCATGAGTTCCGGTCCTTCTTCATTGGCAGCCATCACGATCTCACAAAGCAGACGATGAATCCACTTGCCCTCTTGAATCGCCAAGCTGAGTGCGATGTATTCAGCTTCAGTCGTGGACAACGAAACAGTTGGCTGCTTCTTGCTGCCCCAACTCACTGGTGCACCGAGTAGCATGAACGTGTACCCCGATGTTGACTTGCGGTCGGTAAGATCATCAGCCCAATCCGCATCCGAATATCCACGGACGTCGATCCTTGCACTTGGCTTGTTGCAAATTCCATGCGTCTTGGTGCCTTGTAGGTAGTGAAAGATACGCTTAACTGCAACCCAGTGTTCTTCTTGGGGATTTTCCATGAACCGCGACACGTAGCCCACAGCAAACGCAATGTCCGGACGCGTTGCAGTGGTCAGGTGCATCAACGCACCAACAGCTTCGCGAAAAGGAGCATCGACCTTGGTAGTTGCATCACTTGAAACAAGTCGAGAGCTCATGTCGACTGGACTTGCGACTGCCTTGCAATCATCCATGCCAAAGCGCTTGAGGATATCATCGACATACCGGCGCTGACATAGTGTCACACTGCCATCTTCACCGTCCAAAAGCTCGATCCCAAGAACAAACGCACACTTGCCGCTGTCCGTCATCTCGAACCGCGTCTTCAGGTCGTTCTTGGTTTGTGCAATCAGCTCGAGCGAGCTTCCAGTCACCAAGACGTCGTCCACGTAGACCAGCATAAACACGCAATGGCCGTCCGAAGTCTTGATGTAGAGACATGGGTCGAAGTCCGATACTTGAAATCCGATGGAGCACACATACTCGTCGAACGTCTCGTTCCACACTCGCGACGCTTGCTTGAGGCCGTAAATTGACTTCACCAATTCCAGGCAGTCGAACGTACTGTCAAGTTCGACGCCTTCAGGAATCACGCAGAACACTTGTTCCTTCATGACGCCATACAGGAACATAAAGCTGTCACAACATACATAAAGCTGTCACCACATCAAGCTGGTCGATGGGCCATCCAAAATGCTTGGAAATTGCGATCACCATTCGCAGCGTCACATACTTGACCACAGGCGAAAACGTCTCCGTGTAGTCGATGCCATACTTTTGGCGGAAACCCTTGGCCACAAGTCGTGCCTTGTACTTCTCGATTGAAGCGTCCGCTTTTCGCTTGATCTTGAACACCCACTTGGTTCCAATAGCTCGTTGTCCTTTTGGCAGTACAACCGCACGAAATACTCCGCGAAGTTGCATCGACTGGAGCTCTGCATGAATTGCTTTTCTCCAGTGCACTTGGTCAGGGCCGCTTACTGCTGCTTCAAATGTTGAGGGCTCTGATAAGTCCACTGCTGCTTCAACGGCATTTGCACTCGCACGCCAAAACACAGGCGGTGTTGAATCACCAGAATCCTTCGTTTCTTCGTCTTCTTCTTGGCGTGACGAGTTGTTTTCCGGCGCGCTTGACTCTTCTAGTCCTGGTCGTTGACGCACTGCACGCGGTCGTGGAGCTGCTGTATCTTCATCATTGAGTCGGTTCTTGCGCTTGCCTGTTTGCTTGTACTCCATTTGACGCAGCTCTTCGTCATCAAGATCCAGCAATTCGAAGTCCAGGTCATCTACATCTTCATCAGTGATCGGCAGTTGAAGTCCAAAGGTGGACTCGTCGAAGTTGACATCGCGGCTGATAACCACCTGCCCCGCCTCGATGTCATAAACACGATATGTCTTCGAAACTTCTTCGTAGCCCACGAATATGCCAGCGCGAGCCTTTGGATCCCACTTGAGTCGCTTCTCCTTCGGAGTCAGTATAAATGTCTGACAGCCGAATGTTCGCATGTGCTTGACGCTTGGTCTCAAGTTGTAGACGATCTCAAACGGGGTCTTGTGCACGACTTTAAGTGACGGCAGTCGATTCTTGACGTAGATGGCCGTCATCGCTGCTTCGGCCCAGAAACACTTGTCCAGTTTGGCATGATGAAGCATGCTGCGGCCGATCGTGACAATAGTCCTAATGGCACGCTCTGCTGTTTCCGTTTGTTTGATGTGCATACGGCACCGTTGTCTGCTGTTCAATGCCTTCGTCTTCGTAGAACAGTTGAAGCGAGTTGGTTGCAAACTCGCGAGCTCCGTCGTGTCGCACGAACTTGACCTTCTTACAGAATTGCGTCTGTACCATGGTGATATATTTCCGGATGTAGTCTTCACTCTCGGACTTCACTCGTAGACAAAAGCCCTTCATGCATCCACTGGCTTTGTCGATGATCAGCAGCAAATATTTGCTGCCACCGAGCGAATCCTTTTCCATGGGCCCTCAGATGTCCAGATGAAGTAGCTCAAACGTATCGTAGCTGCGCTTGTCTCGGTTTCTTGGAAATGGTTTTTGGACCATTTTCCCTTGTTGACATCCTCGACATGTAGTTGCTCCACCCGACTTGAGAGGGACTCGCACATCCTTGATCATGTTGGTCGCGATCATCTTGCGAAGTACATCGACTGGAGCATGACCCATTCTCGCATGTAGATCGGCACAACTGGTTCCACTTGTTGTCACATTCGCTGATCGTTGAGTCGTCCGAAGCCAGTAGAGTCCATCCACGAGATCCTCTGTCGCCACCACTTGCTGTGAGTTCTTGAGAGTCACATACATTTTGGATCCGTCAAACACGACTTGAAACTTGCCATGGCTGTTAATCTGTGGCACCGAGAGCAGGTTCTTGCTCATACTTGGAACATATAGCGCGTTCTTGATTTCGATCTCACGCTCTTCACCGTTGGGCAGAACCACCTTTTCCATGATGGTTCCCACACCCTTGATGGCCACCTTGTTGCCATCAGCCACCAAGAGTTCGCCCTCATTGCGCTCTGCCAAACTTGCGAACTTGGTCTTGTCGTGGCAAATGTGGTGCGTTGCACCACTGTCGACGGCCCACATTCCAGACACGTCCTTGCTCGTCGAAACTCCACATTCGAACGAGACTGCAAACGCCACTCGATCGTAGCCATTGCCTTCATCATGATGTCCCCACTGGACATTGTTAGCCCCGCGTCCACGACCATTGCCGCCGCGTCGGGCTCCCCGACCTTCGTTCTTCTGCTTTGTCCAGCAACGACCCACCGTGTGTCCCACCTTGTCACAATACGTGCATTGGTAGGGCTCACGCTCGGCGCTGAATGCCTTGCTTGCATCTTCAGCCTTCACCGTAGTCGCTGTCGTTGTCCCTTTTTCTCCTTGACGCTTGGCATGCTCATTCGTCAGGACTCTCACCACATCTTGAGTGCGAAGCTCGGTGCTGCTCATTTCCATGTTGAGCACCACATTTTCGTAGCTCTTCGGAAGACTGAGTAGCAGAAAAATTGCAACGTCTTCGTCTTCCATCTTCGAACCGATGCCGCTAAGCTTGGCGGGAATGTTGAGGACCTCGTTGCAGTGATGCATGACGTTCGCGCCTTCAGCCATCTTGGTACTGAAAAGTTGTCGCTTGAGGTAGATGCGTCCTGCCTTCTGCGACCCACCGTACAGCGTCTTCAGACTTGTCTTTGCAACCCAGGCTTCCTCGCAGTTGTTCAGCACATGATGGTAGTACGCGTTCGTGTGCAGCAGCATCATACCAAATGAGACGTTGCTTGCCTTGACGTAGTCATCGGACGCTCGCGGGTCGGTGAAAGTCGGAGTCACTTCACGGTTGACGACGTGCCAGACGGACTTCGTCAAAAACACACCGCGCATGTACCGGCTCCACGTTGCGCAATTGTCTCCGTTGAACTTGTCAATGGAGGCGTTGCTGGTGGACGACATGGCGCTTGGGCTCATAACCTGTTGCATTGTAGATCGGAGCGAGGAAAGCGGAGCGAACGTAGCGGAGAGACCGAAGAGAGTAGAGCAGAAAACACTTGCCCAATAGTTGGAAGATTCGAAAGTGATTGATTATCGGGGCTTACTACTTACTACATGATTTATATGTGGTGTACATATAAATCATGTGAAGCGTCTCATCATCCTACGCGTCTAATCAACTATGGTATTGCCGTAAGAACTACGTCGTAAATACTAAGCTGAACAGGCGGTTCGGATTGGATCGGTCACGGTTACCAATACTGGTAGAAAACCGATGACCGTCAACGAAGCGCTCACCGTAATTACGCGAGATCGACTTGGACGGGTTTACGGTTTACACGGTATCTGATAATAGTACCTTAACCGTCAACCAACGATACGCCCCCTCAATGCGAACACGCGTGTATGCCAAGCGCTGCCGTCAATTCCCTGTGACTCGGTCCTGGCAGTCCCTTTGTCATGATGTCCGCCATCATCATCGCAGTCTCACCGTACTCCAACGTATCATCACCACGCTTGACTTCATCGCGACTGTGGTGGTACTTGGTGTTGACGTGCTTGTCCCGACCATGGTTCACAGGATTCTTCGTCATCTTGATGCACGATTGATTGTCTTCCATGATCTTGAGCTCGGGTCTGGGCTTGTCCTCTGCGGCATTCAGAATCTCGCATAATAGGCGATGCACCCACTTGCCTTCTTTAATTGCCAGACTTAGCGCGACGTACTCTGCTTCGCTTGTCGATAGCGATACACTTGATTGCTTCTTGCTTTTCCAGCTTATCGGAGCACCCATCAGGATAGACGCACATTCTGAAGTCGACTTGCGGTCTTCATGATCACTGGGCTAGTCTGCATCCGAGTCGCCACATAAATCCACCTTGTTGTCGGGTTTAACGAAGATGCCGTGTGACTTGGTTTCTTGTAGATAACGAAGAATGCGCTTGACTGCCATCCAATGCTCGACTTGGGGTTCTCCATGGAACGCGAAACGTAGCCCACAACAAAAGCAACGTCCGGTCTTGTCGCGGTCATTAAGTGCATCAAAGCACCTACTGCTTCACGAGACGGAGCGTTGTTCTTGGATGCTGCGTCGCTTGGTGTGAGTCGAGAACTGATATCCGTTGGACTGATGACGGCCTTGCAATCACTCATGCCAAAACGCTTGAGAACATCGTCCACGTATCGTCGCTGACACATTGTCACACTACCGTCGATGTTGTTCACCAGCTCGATGCCCAATACGAACGCGCACTTGCCGCTGTCAGTCATATCGAAACGCCTCTTCAAGTCACTCTCGGTGCGCACAATTACCTCAGTTGAACTGCCCGTTGACAACACATCATCGACGAGACCAAAAACAGCACGCACTTTCCGCTTGCGACCTTGAGATAGAGGCATGGGTCGAAGTCGGACTGTTGAAATACAATCGAGTAAACAAAGTCATAGAAAGTCTCGTTCCATACCCGCAATGCTTGTTTCAGTCCGTAGATCGCCTTCACCAATTCGATGCAGTCAAAGTCTTCATCAATGTCGACACCTGCTGGGATCGCGCAGAACACCTTTTTTTCATCTTTCCGTACAAGAAGGCTTTCACCATGTCCAGTTATTCCAGTGACCATTTGAAGTACTTAGTGATCGCGATTACTATGCGCAGCATCACGTACTTGACCACGGGCGAGAACGTCTCCGTGTAGTCGATGTCATAATTTTGGCGAAAACCCTTGGCTGCAAGTCGTGCTTTGTATTTATCGATCGACCCATCCGCCTTGCGCTTGATCTTGAAGACTCACTTTGTGCCAATGGCGCTTCACCCGATGGGTAACTTGGCCGCACGAAACACACGCGAAGTCGCATTGACTCGAGCTCTGCATTAATTGCCTTGCGCTAGTGCGCTTGGTCCGGGCCAGTCACTGCTTCTCTAAATTTTGACGGGCTCAAAGATGCACTGCTGCGTCAACAGCGTTTGCACTTACCTGCTGAAATGCGAAAGAAGTTGGTGTGCCACGTTGCTCGACTGACTTCCTTCATCTTTATTGGCTCGACGTGAAGAGAGGTCGTCTGAAGCACTTGCCCCTTCCAATCTGGGTCGTTGGCGCACTGCTCGGGGCATATTTGCATCTTCATCTTCGTGACTGAGTTAGGCCTTGCGCATTCCTATTCATTTTGAAGTATCTAGAAAGCGGATCTTTATCATCAAGATCAAAGGATTTGACGTCCTGTCCATCAACACCGTCATCGGAAATCAGCATAGAAAGTCCAAAGGCTGACTCTTCAAAGTTGACATCACGACTTATCGTCTCCTGCCCCACTTCAATGTCATAAACTCGATAAGCCTTGGACATTTCTTCGTAGCCCAAAATCAACCCAGTACGTGCCTTGGGATTCCGCTTGAGTTGTTTCTCCTTCGGGGTCAAGATGTAAGTGTGGCACCCAAAACCGCGCATGTGCTTGACACTTGACTTGGAATTGTAGACAATCTCGAACGGTGTCTTGTGTAGGATCTTGGGTGACGGCAAATGGTTCTTCACGTAGACTGCCGTCATTGCCGCTTCAGCCTAGAAGCGCTTGTCCATTTTGACATGATGAAGCATGCTGCGACCGATGGTGATGACAGTCCGAGTTGCGCGTTCAGCAGTTCCGTTGGCTTGATCAGCGGATGACACCGTGGTTTGCTGCTCGATGCCTTCGACTTCGTAGAAATCTTGAAGCGAGCTTGTCGCAAACTCGCGGGATCCATCGTGTCACACAAACTTGACCTTTATGTTGATCTGCTTTTGGACAATCGTGATGTACCTCTTGATTCACTCCTCACTCTCCGACTTGGCATGCAGACAAAAATCCTCTATGCACCCGCTGGTTTCATCCGCGACAAGCAGCAGATACTTGCTGTCCCTTAAAGATTTGTCTTCCATGGGTCCTCAGGTGTCGAAGTGGAGCATCTCGAAGGTATTGAAGGTGCGCTTGTCACGGTTTCTCGAGAATGGTTTTGAACCATCTTCCCTCCTGACATCCTCGACACACACTTGGTCCATTCGGTTTGAAAGGGATGTAAGCGTCTTTAATCATGTTGCTTGTCACCATCTTGCGAAGTACGTCGACTGAAGCATGGCCCATTCGCGCATGAATACCTTCAAATTTCAGCCGCGAAGTAGCATTCACAGATCGTTGTGATGTGCGAAGTATTGTGGATTGACGGTTGAGGTACTGCTATCAGCTACCATGGGGACCGTAAACCTGTCCAAGTCGATCCCGCGTAATTACGGTGAGTTTTTACCAATGAGTAGACGCATAGGATGATTGGATGACCTACATGATTTATGATTTATGATTTAAATGTGGACAACATATAAATCAGTGCAGAGATAAATCAGGTAGCTTTAACAAAACCCACAAATAAATTCACTTCCAAATATTCCTTCTCCTACACAAGTCGTCTTCACTTCGCAGTGTAGACTTCTTTCAAGCTTTTCAAGCTTCGTTCTCTCGCCCAGTGCTCTTCAGACTTTAACAGGTTATGAGCCCAAGCACGATGTCCTCTACTCAAGATTTCGCCACCAAGATCTCTATCGATAGATTCGATGGAGACAACTGTTGCATTGTAGATCGGAGCGAGGAAAGCGGAGCGAACGGAGCGGAGAGACCGAAGAGAGTAGAGCAGAAAACACTTGCCCAATAGTTGGAAGATTCGAAAGTGATTGATTATCGGGGATTACTACTTACTACATGATTTAAATGTGGTGTACATGTAAATCATGTGAAGCGTCTCATCATCCTACGCGTCTAATCAACTATGGTATTGCCGTAAGAACTACGTCGTAAATACTAAGCTGAACAGGCGGTTCGGATTGGACCGGTCACGGTTACCAATACTGGTAGAAAACCGATGACCGTCAACACGCCCCCTCAATCCGAATGCTCACGAATTCCGAGAGCCGTCGTCATCTCCTTGTGGCGTGGTCCATGAAGTCCCTTCGTCATGATGTCCGCTAACATCACCGCAGTTTCACAGTACTTGAGCTTCACTTCACCGCGCTTGACCTCATCACGGATGTGATGGTACTTGATAGCAACGTGCTTGGCACGGCCGTGGTTGACTGGGTTCTTCGTCATCTTGATACATGACTGATTGTCTTCATGAATCATGAGTTCCGGTCCTTCTTCATTGGCAGCCATCACGATCTCACAAAGCAGACGATGAATCCACTTGCCCTCTTGAATCGCCAAGCTGAGTGCGATGTATTCAGCTTCAGTCGTGGACAACGAAACACTTGGCTGCTTCTTGCTGCCCCAACTCACTGGCGCACCGAGTAGCATGAACGTGTACCCCGATGTTGACTTGCGGTCGGTAAGATCACCAGCCCAATCCGCATCCGAATATCCACGGAAGTCGATCCTTGCACTTGGCTTGTAGCAAAATCCATGCGTCTTGGTGCCTTGTAGGTAGCGAAAGATACGCTTAACTGCAACCCAGTGTTCTTCTTGGGGATTTTCCATGAACCGCGACACGTAGCCCACAGCAAACGCAATGTCCGGACGCGTTGCAGTGGTCAGGTGCATCAACGCACCAACAGCTTCGCGAAAAGGAGCATCGACCTTGGTAGTTGCATCACTTGAAACAAGTCGAGAGCTCATGTCGACTGGACTTGCGACTGCCTTGCAATCATCCACGCCAAAGCGTTTGAGGATGTCATCGACACACCGACGCTGACATAGTGTCACACTGCCATCTTCACCGTCCAAAAGCTCGATCCCAAGAACAAACGCACACTTGCCGCTGTCCGTCATCTCGAACCGCGTCTTCAGGTCGTTCTTGGTTTGTGCAATCAGCTCGAGCGAGCTTCCAGTCACCAAGACGTCGTCCACGTAGACCAGTATAAACACGCAATGGCCGTCCGAAGTCTTGATGTAGAGACATGGGTCGAAGTCCGATACTTGAAATCCGATGGAGCACACATACTCG